AGAGTACCAAATAGAACAATATATAGAAGATTCACCCCTAAATATATCAGCGCTGATTACATGGCGGCAAGACGTTGCCCCTCCTCACAATGTTGTGCAAGTTAAAAATTGTCTTAACATGGAATATCCCAGGGGTTGGATAGGGAACGGCGGAACTATGGATTGGCCAGCCAACAGCACCGGCTTAAATTTAATGGATTTTAGTGTGTCTTGTCATTTTTAGTGTTTTTGTTCTACTTTAATTTTTAAATAATTACTCTTTGAAATTATATAAAAATTTCCAATTTTTGCCGATTTGTCAAAAACGAGTGGACTAAAATATAAAATGTGATCATCATTGTAATCGGAATACGATATTCAATTAAACACATGTATAATATAGATGGTCTTCCATTAAAAAAAAATGATAGTGTTTTGTTTTATGCGTCACTTGGAAAAAACTTGGCTGATAACTATCAAAATGAAAAATTAATTGAAACAGAAAATATATCACTATTTACGAAACTTCTAGGTTCCTACTGCGTCAGTTGTTGCTAAGTCGAACTTACGCAGGGTTAGTCCAGAAGTTTTGTCAATAGTATTAAATCATTCTGTGGAAGTTTCTTTAAAAAAAAGTGCATAAAAATCCTACTTTCAGTGCAATTTATTTGGTTGGAGTCGGATAAATAATTTCCGTGACTATCAATCCGATCCAATCAATCAGTTGGGGCCTTTGGCTATACAATTTCGTAATTTTTTGGATTAACGAACGATATAATGCGGTTCACATTATAGACGTTTACGATCGAAATTCAATGTGTCGAGATATAAAAGTGTTAGAGTTTTATTGTCGTCAGTTTTATTGTACGTCGATTACTGGTGCTGTATCCGACAGCGACAGTGAGATTTTTATTGTAGATCGGAAAATCGGGCGGATTCGATTTAAAATTACATATCTGTCTTAAAATCGTTTAAATGATATTTTATCGTTATAATAAAACAGTAAATTTGCACAATTATTAAGAATTTTGGGAGGCACTTGTACATGAACGTTTTGTTTTTGTGGATGAATACCTGTACCGATTTGAAAATATATGGCATATTCAATGGCGCAAAAGGCATGTACGTAATTGGAGTGTTTTAAGAATGGCCGAATCGCCGAGGTTCATATCACTCTAAGCATCTTAACAACGACGTTGCTGATCGACCACCAGAGCGCGACAATAGTACGCCTCAAATAACACTCAGTACCTAATGAAGGTCAATTCCCCCACAGCCATCACGTGCTCTCAAATAGTCGAACACTACGTAAACCTGTTATAGGCTCCAATCAAAACACTGCAGTGGTTGCAGCACGTAGACTGGGTTATCTGCACGTGTACACATTGGATTCACAAACGACAACTAACGAACTGAGGCGCTTCTTGAATAGGATGTCAAAAAAGTGTACAACCCATCCCTCGGGCCAAACGGTGCATGTATCAACAGGTACCGATTTCCAAAAACTCAAGACAAGGAACGACGGAAATTTCAGACCACCTGCCTCAAGTCAGCTGAAAGGCTAATGATACCGCCGTTTCCAAGTCATGAAACATGAAACCAAACGTTGTAAGGAGCAGAGAGAAACATATAAAAATATGTCACATTAATGTAAGGAGGTTGAAAAGGAAAACCGATGACTTATACATTTTACTGCATCCAATTGCATTTCCTCAAGTCCTCTGTATTACTGAAACATCAGTCTTGAAATTCAGCTGATAATTATTCAGAATTATATCATTAGATTACATTATAAGATTCTAAAATTTTTGAACGCAATAATGTTAATTTTACGCAGTTATCAATCCTTTGTTGCAGAATAAGTAAGGCTTTCGGGTACGCAATTTGCGGGATTAAATTTTCCCAAGAAGTATATCGCGTTGCCGTAATTTACCGATCACCTAACAGTGATTTGAATAATATGAATGAATAATATCTTGACTAATTATAAAGCATTCTTTTGTGGAGACTTTAACATGAACTTTAGTGACAATAACGATACAATAGTATATCATGCAATAAGTGCGGTAAACGGCATTTGACTCACGAATTTATTTGACTCGAGCGGAGTGCAGCGGAGCGAGTGTTTAATAAACGAGTGACTTAAAAAGTTTACCGAACGTGTTGCATACTATACTTTTTCTACTACCGTTAGTCTTTGGGTACATAGCGTGGGAAATATCTCCGAAAACATCCGCTTCATGCTGCATTATAGACTCTATCCGGCATGGTTTTCAAAAAAAGCGATCAACGCAAAATGCCATTCTCTCATTATATAAGCGTATTTTTCGCAAGTTACAAAAAGCGTTTGACTTGGTCGATGTTGATATTTTAGAGGACAAGATTTATTCATATAGTATTAGAGCTAACGCCTTAAGTTGGTTAAGGTCTTTTCTTGGAGGTCGTACGTTGCTTAAATTGCGAGATACCTTAGGATTTGAATACGTCTCTGATTCCAGGTCAGGGAATTGTGGTGTACCTCAGGGAGGTTTACTAGGTCCTTTATTGTTTATAGTGTCTATAAATTATGTGTTTTCATCTTTCCCCCATACTTACTTTTCCCTTTTTGCGGATGATGCAGTTTCTACCCTTTCTGCACAACTTAGCATTGCAACCAAGACAACTGTTGAGCAAATTAAACATTATGCAGAAATTAGCAAATTGATATTGAATGAAAGTAAAACTAAGATGATCGCCTTTTCAGCGCGGGATTTAAATAAGAGTTTATTAATACGCTTTAATGAAAGCAGAAAAGTGTTGCAAAATTCCTCGGAGTTTATGTAGACTCGAGACTCTCCTGTTTCGAACAGGTGGACCACATTCTCAAAAAACTTTCTGTTTGCTGCTTTGTCATATGGAAGCTCCGCCATCAGATTTCTTTCCCCTTGTTAAAAATGTACTATTCCTGTCTCAACTACGCTTTGATTTGTTGAGGAGGTTCCTCACGCGCGGAGCAAGTCTTTAGGATGCAGAAACTCATTTTACGGACTATACTGTTTAAGTTCTGGAATTTTTCATGTCGGGACCTATTTCCACAACACTCGGTATTGACACTTGCTAGTATGTACATACTTAATTGTGCCACGTATGTAAAAATTAACTCTAATCTTTATATACATCTATGCTCTCAAGAAAATCAGATATTCGGTAGAGTTTAAGACCGAATCTTAACATAAAAATACCTATACATCGACTGTCTCTTACATTAAACAGTCCCTTTGTTTCGACAGCAAACATTTATAATAAATTGCCTATCGAACTGAAGGAGATAACTAGTCAAACAAAATTGAAATGCACTCTTAAAGACAGATTGCTACTCCTCGCCTATTAAAATATTAAGGATTTTCTTTCTTGTGATTTTTTTTAATACATATTAGATGTTTGTTACTGTTTATATATTTGTTATTTATCTAACATTATTACTTATTATTATTATTATTAATTAATTAATTAATTATACTAAGATAATTTTATATTTTTACATTCATATTATACTGACAATATTCAACACTTGTAACTCAAGTCTTATTGAAATAAAGCTATCTTTATCTTCATCTTTATGAAAAACAGAGCAAAGTTAAAAATATTTAATGATTAAAACCGCATGGCAATATCTCGACTTCACGAGATACAGACCCTTTTGAATATTGCTTATAACTTTTTTGTTCATGAAAATCTTGGATTTGGATAAAAACATTATTAGGGCATTTTTGAAACGCAAATGCATTGGCGTACTCATATTTTTTCTACAGTTCTCCGTTATCTCATAAATAAACACGACTTTCTTAGTGTCGACTCCTTTTCAGCCATGGAGATTTGCTGATATCTGTGATGAAAAAAGGCGGAAATACAAACTGTAAATTTTTGACTTTGGTATATTTTGTGTAGAAATCATTCATCCGACCCAAAAAATAAACATGCTATTTGAAAGACAATTTAATACGCTTTAGTATGAGTTTAGATTTGTCAAGAGTTCTGATCTTTTATATGCGTAGCTGCGGTTAAACAAAAAACGGAGAATTCCGGCTAGACTTCGTACTCCAACCTCGATCCCAGAGCTTATTGTTGCAGTAGAGGAAGAGTGGCTTAACATTCCACAAGAAATAATAGCCAACTTAATTAGGTCTATGCTTAATCAAGTAAGAGATGTTATTATACCTATTATGAAAAAATAAGTGTTGAGTTGCTAATTGTCAATAGCACTATTTGTTTTTAATAATAAAAAAAATGTTAATTTGACTAGTATAGTTATTTTACTATGCTAAACCTAAAAAGCAGAAATAAGATTGTCTTTCAAACAGCATATTTTTTTTTATCTGATAACTAGTGTCTAAAAAGAAATGAAATTGAATTCAAAAGTTCACAATGGGTTGATTTCTATGCACGCAAGTTTAGGTAATAATTTGTTTATGTATTTGTAGGCCTTGCACATAGAAACTTTCAATAGTATATTATGCAACAAGTGCGGTAAACGGCATTTGACTTACGAGTTTATTTGACACGAGCGGAGCGAGTTTTTAATAAACGAGTGAGTTAAAAAGTTTACCGAACGTGTTGCATACTATACTTTTTCTACTACCGTTAGTTTTTTCATATGTGTAATTAAAATAAAGCAGCGTCATTATAACACAATAACGAACATATAAATGAAAAAAAAAAGAGTTTTTAGAGTTTCTAGAATAGTGGTGTTCAAAGTTGTCGACCAGAGGGTCTTGACGTTGGCCTGCGTTAGTGATCTATGACAAAAAAAAGTCTGTTCTAAAGAGTTGTACTCAAAGAAGTACACGAGTTTCCTGTGAACACATTAAGCAATACACAATAATTTTCCAGAGAAACTAAAGCTAATATCCCATTTATTAAACTTTGTTTAATAATAGCCGTCAATCCAAATGTTTGTTTCAGGTACAGGAATCGCCGCAAAACTTCACAAATGTTTACTGAATTGCAATTTGGAGTACGTTATTCCGTCTTTTTCTTGACAGCTGTAATGCTCACTGCCGGATACCAACGTTTCACGGCATTAGTTGAACAAAAACGGTAGCAAATAAGGCATTACACGAGACCTTTGTGGTGGTAAGCAAACTTTTTTTATTGTCATTATGAACTTCATTTAGTGTCGATTTGACAAAATCATGCTATAGATAACAAGATTGCTTTCGAAAAATCGTCACTGGGCGGGGCAAGTGTTTAGCGCGTAGCGCGAACCAGCTTTTTTATAATCAATAACGTCATCGCGTCTTGACAGCCCCCGAAATAACGATTTCAATATGGATTTTTTCAAATATCCCGAGCGTATGTATCTTTTGTATTTAACTTTTGGCTCATATGGTTTCTGAGTCCTAAGATAAACGGCTCAATAGTAGACTTAACTGGCCGAGATATTAAACAAAACTTATTGTGGGGAGACTCTTCAGAGGCAGATAGAACCTTTAAAATTCAAAAAAAGATTGTTCGAACTTTGTGTTGTGCACAAAATAAGGATCACTGTAAGTCACTATTTAAAAAAATGAAAATACTAACTCTCCCTTCAATTTTCATTTATCAGTGAATAATGTGCATAAGAACTCCTAATAATAATAATAATAATAATAATAATAACAATAATATTTTTTGCCTAAAAGATGAACATTCATTTAGAAAAGAATTTCATCTTGATAACTATTACTATAATTATAATAAGTAGACAACTATATACATTTCAGCAAAGTAACAGTGAAACATACAATTTAATTAAAGTGGTAAACTGGTAGCAACTACGACAAAAAACTCATGAAATGATTAAATAATTTCATCAACTGATACCTTTAATCATTGCTGGCTCAGCAACTCAGGGCAATCCACTAATGAATTGCAAGGTTTATATGTATGATACCAGACATAGAAATGATCTGTGTGGTCCCTATCATCGTGTTAACTCAATCGTCCATGAACGTCATTGGTATTAAACTGTATAACAAAATACCAGCAACTATCAAAAACAACTGTTCCACGTTTGAAACACACTCTTAAAAACATTTTAAACATTATAACTATAAAGATTTTTTTGAATGCAACTTTAACAGCTACGTGACCTATGAATTTTAGATTGTTTGTGTATGGGATATATACTTTTATGTTCACTTCGAAAACTCATACTGACAACTTTAAATGTATTGTTTATACATGATTTGGCAATAAATTATATAATTTTTATTTTATCATTCTATCACATATAAGTTTCTCTGTACACTTTGTCACTATCTCGATGGAATAGTTCAAACTCTAACTTTACGAATATTGAATTATATTGACCAAGGTGGCCAAATTGCCTAAGTTGCGGGACCAAATAAACCAGCAAAGAAAGAAAACCTTGCCTGTCCTTGCAAATTTTGCATTGTATGCCACGCTACTGTGAAAATGTTCAACAACGAGCATCTTTCAGCTTATACGTGGCAGCAATGCCTGAAGAGGCGTAGCAACCTCAGATTATGTACCACCACAGAACGTTCGTTCAGGTGACACCGTCTCTACAAAACAGCAGCTGTACGCATCCCCGTTACAACCAGGTGACATTCTGGACAAACCTGACTACTGGTGACGTCGTACAAGCATCGGTGGTCCTAATCCTGACTATGGGAATAATCGTGGCCAATTTGCTCCTTATCTCCGTCATCAACAGTCGAAGATATTCCAAGTACATCCACTCTCAGGTGAGCATTATTTTATCTGTCGGGTTTCGAAGCCCCTCTCTGGCGTTTACACGTTATGGACCCTTTAGGGGCGCTTAAGTTGATTGCGTATGTAACGACGTCGTGAATTTTATCGCCAGGGATCGATTTCTGTCCTCGGCGCTTGAGATTCTACATCGCGAGTCGCGTTTTAATGGAACCCAAATTGATTGTAATTGATGATACTGAAATGCGAAATCAAAGCGGGGTACAAAACCAAGCCGCGGGAGTTTAGCATATTAATTAACCTCGAAAAGATCCGCTTTCCGCTGCATTGCTGGAAAATGTTCTTCAATCGCGTGTTTCATATTGTTTATTTATTTATTTATCAACGGCCAACTGCCCAATATAAAATAAGATTCTCATAAACAAAATAGTGAAAAACAAAGTAAAATAATACAAAAATAAAACGGAATGAAATATATAGAAAAACATTGGTTTTCTCAAATATTATAAAAGGAGTCAGAACACATATAACAGTAGCGAGGCATCAACACATTGTTAGACAATACTATTCAGAAGTCAGTTTCGTCAGTCTTTTAGTTCTTCTTTGAATATTTTTGCACTCTGGAAGCAGTCAAGTTGGTTTGAAAAGTGAGTTTCTATAGGAGTAATGAACCTTGATATCCAGTAAGTTGGAGAAGTTCCCGTTTTTAAAAATTGGTTAAAGATAATATAGAGTGGCGTAGAAAGAAATAAGAACTAAAAGTTCAGATTTTCACGAAATGATATATTTTTACATGAAAATTGTAATATTTACAAACTACCTGTTACTATATATACCGAAAAATGACCATAAAACCTTAATTAATGTTGTTGTGAGAATTAAAGTTCAATGAAGGAGAGGTATTTAAATCTAATTGATCGTTAAGCAATACATTTGAATGTCTCACTTTGTTAATCTTCATGGCTTCCAATAAATTTAATTTTCTACTTTTTGTGACTGTATGTAAAATTTCAAAATTGTCGTCAAAAATGTGGTTTTGTGTGTAGCATAATTAGAATCTAGACTATTGTTTTTAAACGATCTTTTATGTTCGTTAATGCGTTTCTTGAAGGATCTACCTGTTTGTCGAATATAAATTTTAGGACATGATCCGCATTTCGACTTGTAGACACCTGATTTTTGAGATTTTGGATACTTCGTTTTATTGTTTTTTCAAAATTTTTCTATTGTTAGTTCTGAAAGCTATTTTTAAACCACATTTTGACAAATGTTTTGAAACTTTTTCACTAGGTTCTCCTCTCTATGTATGTAATTGTTTTAATGTAATTTAAAAACGAATTCTGTTCGTTCCAACAAAGCAAACAAATATATCATCGACGTATTTATGCCACCATAGAAAACTTTTACTTAAAGAATGTTCTAGTATGATATTTTCCAAATTATCCATAAAAATCTCGGCTAACAAAGGACTAAGTGGGTTTCCCATAATCAAGCCTTCCTTAGAGATGTTAATCTGTCCATTAAATTCAAAATAATTTTGGTCTAAAGATACTATTAAGCAATCTAATAAATCTTGTTTCACCAATGGGTTAACCTGTTTCCGAGTGACGGTGAAATCTACTAAATCGATCACATCTATAGGAGGAATACTGGGAAATAAGTTTTGTACTTCAAAAGATAATAGTTTTGCGTTAGAAGGGTTTTTGATATATTTAATTTTATTGATTAATTGAAAAGAATTTTTTATTACAAATTTTGGTTTAAAATCGGTGTGGAACTAAAATATTTACTAATTTTGTAGAGAGTTTAACTGCTGGAGCTGTTACACAAGGCACGACTGGTCTAATGGACATATCTTGTTTATGTAATTTAACTAAAGAATATAATTTCGGCGGTAGTGGATTCATAATTGTTAAAAAATACTTGTCTTTGTCACTAAATAGTGTGGAGTTAGTAATTACTTCTTTGACTTGTCTTTGATATAACTCGGTAGGATCGTGTTTGATATATTGGAAAAGTTCTGGTTTAAGAAAATTGTTGTTTTTTGAAATATATTCTGATAGATCGATAGCTATGACTGTCTTCCCTTTATCTGCACGTGTAAATATTACTTTATTTTTGAAAACTTTGTTTTTAATAGATTTTACTAGTGACATTTATTGAGAGTTTATTATGTTCGCTAATACATGTCTGTTTAAATTATTATCGTTAAAGTCCTTAATTGATAATTCACAGTCGATCCTTAAACAGTCCAATTCTATATTAATGTTCGAGTGCTGTAAGTTAAAGTTGAGACCTTTTTCCAGAAATTCAACTTCATTTTTAGAAAATGTTGTGTCTGTTAAGTTTACGAACCTGTTGTAAATTTGGATTGCTGTTAGATATTTCTGTATTAGAAATTAATTTGTCTAAATTTACTTTTTGTCTAAGAAATTGTTTGTGAATGATAGATGAAATGTCTGTTCGAACTCTATAATCAAATGTGTCAAATTATAGGTGGTTAAGTCTATGAGACAATTCCTTTACATGAATGTTGTTGTATCCCGTTTTCTGTACTCGTGTCTTTGTTATTCCTTCGTCCATTTCGTCTGACTTTGGATCTGGGCTTTCCTTGCAGCGTCGTTGGTTTTTAATTTAATAAACTTGGGAAAAACCTTATTTTGTAAACATTTGTTAAAAAACCAAATGTTTTGGGAACATATTCGGCCACGTAGAAGCAATATAAAATACCCATTTCAGCTTTTTTCAAATATTGAACTTAGGCGCTTTTACTTTATGAAAATCCATTTAACACAATAAATAAGAACTAAAAGTTCAGATTTTCAAGAAATTATATATATTCACATGAGAATTGTTTCGAAAACCCCGTGTCTTTATCAAATGTAATTAAATACCTCTCCATTATTAAACTTTCTCACAACAACATTATTTAAGTTTTTATTTTCATTTTTCGGTATATATAGTGGCAGGTAGTTTGTAAATATTACATTTGATAAAGACACGGTGTTGTCGAAACAATTGTCATGTGAATATATATAATTTCGTCCAAATTTTTTAATTTTAGTTCTTATTTTTTTTGTTTAACTAAAATATTTTCTCTTGTCAGCAATAAAATTCATAATGTTTCGCGTTCGCATCGTCATAATGATAAAAGACTGCAATGGAAATTTATTTTATTTTTATTTATTCAATAATGCCGATATTACAAAGGACAGTTTGGTCAGGAAAACATACGTCTAAATATTTTTTTTTTTACATTAATCATATGATTGTCGTATTCAGATAGATTATAAAAACATTTGTTGTAATTAAAGATTTTAAATATTTTTTGAATTTAATTTGCTTTACGTCTTTAATTTCAGCAGGAAGGTTATTATGCTTATATTTTATAGCAATAGTAAATAATTTTTTTTTATTTTTGTTTCTTGTCAAGTAAGAATGAATATCAGATCTTGTTTGAAAGTTTGTATTTTTTTTATGTACATAACATAATAGTTTAAGTAAATAAATACCTGTCAGCGTTAAAAAATTGTTAGTTTAAAAACATCTCTGCAAGATTCAACTGGATTACTCTGTTATCTTTTTTTTGTTGAACAAAGATTCTGCCCGAGTGTACTGCTCTTTCCCAACTTATGATATCGGAAGAGATTACTGAGTATATTGCTAAGTAGTTTACATTAAAAAGAGAAGAGGAATTTAAGGAAGTTTTAAATTTTAAGACTGCAAAATAAGAGCTATTAAGTTTTTTTGATACACAGTCTATTTGATTGGACCACCTTAATTTACACTCAAGTTTTGTACCTACATATTTTGTATGCAAAATTTTAGTTTATTTATTATTATTTTCATCTATTTTGATATTTAACCCGTATATATAACTTATGTATTGACTTGCGAATTGAAGTACTACAGTTCGTTCAGGGTTTAATGTAAGGTGCTTGACAATTGGTATAAAGAAAACAAATTAATTTTAAGTAAAGATAAGTCACACGCTATTTTGTTTCGAACAAAACAGTCCAAATTGCATATTTGGAATGTGATAAGCATATTATCAATATGGTAGATAGTGTAAAGTTTCTAGGAGTAAATGTAGATGAATTTGTGGACTGGAATGGGCATGTTGACAGTTTAATGAAATGGTTAAATTCTGTTTGTTATGAAATTAGAGTAGTTAGAAGGTACATGCATCACAATACAAAAATTTTATATTTTGCCAATTTTCTGTCCATTTTAAATTATGGCATTATTTTTTGGGGAGGGCACAGCGCAATATTAAGATTATTTTAAGTTCAGAAGAGAGTTATAAGGCTAATTAAAAAGACGAAGTGTGGAGGATTAAGTTGTAGAGGAATTTTCCAGGTGGAAGGTTTAATGACAGTATACGGTGTCTATATTTATAAGTCACTCATTTTCTTTTTTAAAAACCGGGAATACGTACAACACTAGAACGCGAAATGTAAATTACCCAATACATAGATTAACTCTAACTGAGAAGAGTGTGTAGAAGATTTTATAACAAATTGCCCAACAGTTTAAAAGAAATAAATAGTTTGAAAAGATTTAAAAGAAATATTAGGAAACTTCTGATAGAATTAGAACCCTACTCAATTGAAGGGTATTTTGTAATATACTAACACAATTTGAAATAAAGATTATTATTATTATTATTATTATACAGTAGGTCTGAAATTTTGTATAGCTTCTTCAATTTTTCTATTGATTTTGTCACAAGTTTTGCCCTGGAATAAGATGGTCATATAGTCACAATATTGATAAAGTTGATATCTGCGAGGTATGTTCAAAAAGTAAGGTGACTTTTAAGTTTTATCAAAAAATATTTACTTATAAAAATTAATGTTGTCCCCTCCAAAGTAATCCCTCTCAGATATAATACAATTGTGGCAACGTTATTTCCAATCCTCCAAGCACTTCTGTAAGCAGTTTCGGGTACAGCCTTGAGTTCTTCCAATGATTTTTTCTTTATCTCCTCAATTGGGAACAGGAAAATCTAGCAGGGGGTCATATCCGGTGAATATAGTGGCTAAGGCATGATTGTAGTGTTGCCTTGGGCCAAAAAATTAGACACAAACAACGATGAGTGAGCAAGGGCATTATCGTGATGCAAAATTCATTAATTATTTTCCCACAATTCCTGACGTTTTCTTCGTATTGCTTCTCGCAAACTGAGCATAACTTAACATAACTTAACTCTTTGTTGATCGTAAGAACCTTGTGGTAAGAACTCTTGATGTACTACGCGACGATAGTCAAACAAAACCTTGACAATGGATCGAATTTGACGTCCGTTTTTCGGTCTTGGCGATTCTGGGTTCTTCCATTGAGACGACTGATCTATAGTTTTGATTCCCCGCCTCCAGTTATGACCTTTTTGAGCATATCAGGATTATCATTGACGTCGCTTAACAGCTCTTGTTCGTTCAAAGTTAAGTTAAATTTTGGTGCTACATGTTTCATGACCAAAGTTTCGGAAAAAATTGCATCGCACCAGCCAATAGAGATGCCGAAGTCTTCGGCCACTTCTCTAATAGTGATTCAACGATTTGTCAACACTAGTTGCTCTATGATATTTAAAATTTCTTTAGGCTCTCAATTTTTTGCTGTTCTGGTATATTTTTTTGTAATTATTGTAATTTCAAACGGAAAGTTAATATTGTCATTGATATGATTTTTGTCCTTGCAGAACATCATGCCAAAATACATTTTAAAAATGTCTAATCTTAATAGTTAATAAAATAATAAATATAAGTCAGAAGTAGTTTTTGGTTTACGAAAAATGTTTAAATTTTTAAATCTACACTTTTGTGTACACTGTACAGACAATTGAGTTATACACATATTTGTGTACACTACATACACACATTCCACATACAATATTATTTTAAGTCAAAGTTACTAATGTACTAAGAACGAATGACGTTACTAATGAAGCTCGATTAAAATATTGTGCTAATGGATTAGGTATTTCTAGGCAATAAACTTTCCACAAATGTGGAAAGTGTTACGAACTTACAAAATTTGATCGCCTTTTTTTCCTTTTTTCCTGTCGTCAAAAATTGCGTAATAAATCAGTAACTGATACTTCTCGAAGCAACTTTATTAATATTAGTGTATTCGAACAACAGAGCGGATTAATTTATTTTTAATTTTAATTTCAGCCTCGCTATCTCTTGACCTCACTGGCCTGCAATGACTTGGCGATGGGTTTACTGGTGACGCCATTTGCTGTCCTGCCATCCTTGAGGAATTGTTGGCCCTATGGCGAACTAGTATGTCAAATTCAGGTAAGGCTGAGGTTTTACTGAGTCATTTATCCACGGTACTGATATAAAATAAATCAGAGTTCTAAAATCATATAAAGTTTGCATTATTTCATCAACTCCATATTTGTAAACGGTACTCAGATGATATGATTCACTATACGTTTCGTAAATCTCAATGTAGATTTCGCTCGAGTCATATAAATTCAAAGATGTATTAAATGTTAAAGACAAAAGTTATTGAATGGGAATTCAGTGTTAACATTATACATTAAAAGTGTCACTTTTTTAGTTTGATCATAGAAATAAGAATTTATGAGGTAATTAGTTTAAATCATTTATAGAAACAAAAAAAAAAGAATTTATATATAAATTTTAGAAGTGGACATGACATTTACCTGATATATTGACAATGACAAATTATGTGAGGGTAGACACTCCAGCAACATTATTAATACAAGAAGTATAAGAGGACTAGATGGGGACATGGACCATTTCCTGGTTAAAGACGGACTGAGGACAAGACTATCGACATAGGTTACACAAAAACAAGAACGGGTAGCAAGATGGGATGTGGAGAAGCTTCAAGATATTAAAAGAGGAACACAATACCAAATAGCTGTCTGTAATAGGTCCCAAGCACAGGAGGAAGCTGAAGATGCCGAAAAAGTGGTGGTAGATCGAGAAAGGGAGGAGTGGCAGGCAGAAGTTGTATACGAAACCCCTAGACAGTGTCTAGGAAAAAATAACAATAATACGAACAAGTGGTACGATGAGGAATGTGAACAAGCTCTACAACTAAAAAACAAAAGGAGGATAAAATACGTAAATAATCCGGTAAACGAAAACAGAGAAGAGTTTAACAGAGAAAGAGCAAAAGCATGGAAAGTGCTACCGACAAAGAAAATACGCCACCTAGAAGCACAAATCAGAAAGATCGAGGAAGGAAAGAGTCAATACAAAAAAATGTCAAGAAATGCAAAAATGGACAACTATGACGGACACCAGTGTAATGAGCAGCGATGCACAGCTTCTAACTGCAGAAAAGAAGAACATTAAAAGGTGGAAGGTGTGTTTTGAACCACTGCTTAACATCCACAATGTTAAAAATGCTGAGAAAATAATGTACTTCTCTGCTGAACCAGACTTCAGTCCCCCGACACTGGAAGAAGTAAGGGCGGCTCTGGGATCTTTAAAGAACGACAAATCTCCAGGAAGTGACAACAGCTTGGAATAGAGAAGCAATGCCTTAGTAGTGAGGAGAAATTGTAGTCATATCTATTCATTAAAAGGGTACAAAAGACTAGTGCAAGAATTATAGAGTAATCTCTCTGCTGAATAGAACGTACAAAGTCATGAGCATTGTTGTACTAAAAAGAATAACACCTTATGTTGAAAACGTAATAGAGGATTATTAACGGGGCGTCGTACAGCGTCGCCGTTAGTACCGATGGAATCAGCGTCGAAAATTAAACATTTTAATTTTTTGTTCACTATTCTCTGTTCTCAGTCGACCCTCCATAAGAACGGGAATAACTTCCGTACGATTTCAGTGAGGGAGCTGAAGTTTTGAACTGACCACGAGACTGGCTGCGATTGGAAATTGGCTTCTCCCTTTTTCTTGCGATTTTCGTCTGTTTTTCATACATCGCCATGAAACATGATAAGTGTCCGAGAGTTGTAGTTATCGATTTCAAATATAGGGTTTAGTCCCCTAACGGAATCTATTGAAATTGGGGGCTGGGGAAGTCGGGAATTATTTTAAAAATGTTTAAACCGCATTTAGAGGGTATCGAGAAAAAAAATCATTTCTCAAAAGCTTTATACGTGATCGCAAAATTCTTTAACCAGAAGACGCGCGAGATCCTGGAAAAAATCATTTATCCTTGATGATTTTGTAAAAATGTACAGGGTGCGCCAAGTGGCAAAAAACTAGAGGGCTGTGTTTGAGATGCCATTTTCTTTCACGCGACCATGTAATGCGTATGGACTGCTAACATTTTTGTATTTTGGGTTTTCACATATTGTACAAGGTATTCGAGATATTCTGCACCATATTCAAAAATGTAATAGATCTCTCAAATTTGTAACTATCGACTTCAAATTTAGCAGAGAATTAAAAAGATCCTGAAAATAATTTTTTTAGCGTAAATTATTGAAACGGTTTTCGTCTATCACATACACTGTTCGTGATATTAAAAAAAATCCAAATGAAATTCACCAATTTACTATGACGACGTACTGCATGGTTTCAGAAAACAAGTATTTTTTCCGAAACCATTTGCTCTATTGGAAAAATTTATATAATAGGAGAAATGAGAGATCCAGGGCTATTACCTCTATTTCGAACATTGTTTGAATTATATGCGGGCTATGTGGTTTATGTGTCAAAATCTAAAAGATCTTAAACATTTCCGTTTTTGTGGGTAAATTATTGGCGATAAATGAAAAACCGTTTAAGATGGGATAATTTTATTTGAACACTATCGTATACCATGTCGAGAGAGGTTGAGGTTTCATCTATCATACATATTTGAAATATTTGAAAAATTTGAAATATTTGAAAAAATATCATTGGAATATTTTAATATTTACCAAACTTTTCCGTAACTTTACAGTTCGGCGAGACGTGAAAGACATTTTATACAGAGTGTATGCGCAATAAAATGACATCGGTTTTGCGAAAGTTCCATAGCGTTCCGCAGGAACACGATAGAAAAACAATGCCCACTAGGGCACAAAGCTGTGTGTTGACGTAGCGCATAGTACGGAGCAGACGACTTGCACTGCCACGATTTTTCGAAATCAAATCTTGTTACTGATATGGCAGCAAGAAGAACAAAAATAATATTAGCATTTGCAGATGACTTAGACACTGCAGCACAAATAACGAGAGATGTGAAAACTGTGTTGACATAATTTGAAAGCACAGCATCACCAATGGGGCTCAAAGTCAATGAAGAAAAACTCGAATATATTATAGTGTCAAAGAATACCAGAGAAAGAATGAGACAAAACATTTCCATCAACCATCACAATTTCGAAGTCGTTAAAGAATTGAAATTCTTGGGAGCAGTTATAAGAGATCACAACAAAGTAGCAAGCAGCAGCTGCAGGAAACAGAGCATTCTATGCGGTACAATACCTATTTAAGTCTAAACTCCTCTCTAGAAGAACAAAAGCAAAATTACATAAATCATTAAGTCGACCGGTTGTTATATATGGCAGAGAAGCCTGACGCTAAATCAAAGAGAAATAAATAAGTTGTTGTTGTGGAAACGTCAAATACTACGAAGTATATACGGCCCGTATAGAGATATAAACACTAATGAATGGAGACGGAGCAACAATGAAGAATTGGAGGAATTGCATGGAAGGGAAAATATTGTGAGGCGTATAAAACAGAGAAACAGAAAAAGAAAATACAATTCGAATTGCATATGTATAAATATGTAAATAAGAAACATATAAAATATTAAGGAAAATAGATTATCTTTCGTTTTATTCATTCATTAAAATTCAATGCACGTTTTGTTCTTGAATATTGTTTGATAATATTAAAGTTCTTATTTATGTTGATCCGAAACACTGTACTGCCCAGGTTGTGGTTGGTATGTCATAGTATCAAACTTGGTTGGTTTTGTGATAGACACTACTAAAATTAATCCCTGAAAAAAATTTGTAAATCAGTTATTATTGGTTTCCTGCTGGGTTTATTGAGTATATTGTGTGCTGGACTATACAATACGGCAAACAACCTGTTTACTGAGTGTCGTTTTCATAATCGCTATCCTAATTTGGGTATGTTTAACGCTGTTAGAACCGCATTGAAGAAAATAATTTTTTTTGGATTCGTTTTCAAATCCAGTATTACATAGTGTACAACATTCCGTGTACATACATCATCATCAAAGTTGACGCGAAACTTTAAAGCATACTCCCTGCGTCGGACAAATTGTGGCTGTTCTCATGTAATGAACCGTAGACATGATCGTCCGAAGCAATCCCGATCACGTATCGCTAAAATTTCCCGCTAAGTGCACTGTTGAAATGCATTAGCGTCGGGACAGGACGTCGAAATCAATATCGGTGTATTTGTTCGCGGATGCGGATCTAATTTCGGGCATTTTTACATGCAAATGCCCAAATGTGCCACCCAATATCACTCCTTGTAGTGCTCTGTAATTGGTGAAGTTTTTTGAGGCTGGTTCGTATTCTACTCTGTAGTTGCTTATATACTGTTTGAAGGGACGGAGCTAAAGGACAGGCTTAAACACCGTCTCGGATGACTGATGCTCTTATTGGTGAGTTGGTTCCTTATCGATTTTTGGGATTTTTCTTTGCAAGAAAAATTGATTATAAGCAAAAATTTCAGTCTTATCGAGTATGATTTGATATCCTGTTCCGTCATTGTGCCTTAAGGCTCTTTCGTGTGTTCTTTTGCCTTAGTTTATTCTGTTTCTCCAATGTTGTCCCATATGCATGGAATGCTGTAAACTCCTGGCATCTCAAACGGAATTTTGTCTTTGGCAGATCGAAGAAGTCTGTGCATGAGAAAATAATAATTTAAAAATGTGACAGACAGTAAGTGCGAGGAAAAGAAAATCACTTGTAAGAAACTTAAATGTTATGTTGCATTCTATGCGATTTACATAGCTGTCAAGTGATTTATTTTCAGTTTGGTTTGGCAATTCATCATGAACTCACGCCTGAACAACGCGTGCAAATAGGCCCAAAACCAGATTGCCGTTGTTCCCGATTTTCATAAGCGAATTTTGTTTAGCGATGAGGCGCACTTCTGGTTGAATGGCTACGTCAACAAACAAAACTACCGCATTGGGAGCGAAGCTAATCCTCAAGTGTATGTCGAAACACCGTTACATCCAGAAAAACTGACTGTTTGGTGCGCTTTATGGGCTGTTGGAATCATTGGTCCGTACTTCTTCAAAAACGGTGATGGCCAGAACGTTACAGTCAATGGTGATCGGTATAGATCTATGATTACTAACTCTTTCATTCCTGAA